AACCCCGGGCCTCAGCATGGCTGCCGGGAGGGGAGCAGAGCGGGGTGGGCTGGGAGGAGTGGGGGAGGAATCAGCCACTGGGAAGCAGGGCTTGGGGCAGCAGGGCTGGACTGGGGAGATCAGGAAGAGAAAGGGGGGGGAGCGGGACTGACCTGGGCACATGCAGACCCTGGCAGACGAGTGAGTCTGGCTGGGGATTCCATTTTGCCCCTCCCCGCCCATATCCTCCCTGGAATAGTTGCAAGCTGCCTGGCAGGTAGACACACTCAGACAGCGTGAGCACATCTACCCGCCAGGCAGCTGAGGACTAATACACCTAATTATAATAAAACGTTCCTAATTAGAAAATACCAGGTATTTTATATGTCTGGTAATTTTTCTATTTCTTTCCCAGACAAAACCTTCAAATACCGGACTGTCCGCAACCCTACCCTTCTTTGCACCCTCCCTCTTAGCCAGATACCCTACCCCCAATCTGCTCCTGCTCCCGCCTCCTGAAGTGCTGATGTGGCACCGGGTCCCCCAAGCCCTGGCCCAGGCTGGGTGGAGGATGCAGCTGGGTGAAACACTGAAAATTTATTAATTTTTCATTTTTTATATGCATTTATATTTTTCGGCTGCAAAAGACAGTACTGAAAAAAAAAACGGGTTCCAACTAAAGTAAAAAGTTTAGGATCTAGCCAGCTTTCTATCCACCTAACAGTCCATTTATCCAATCAATATTTCCTTAACTTGCTGGCAAGAATATTGTGGGTGACTGTATCAAAAGCTTTGCTAATGCTGGCACTGGGGGCTTTGGGAGGACCAGAAACAACTTTATTTGAATATTCATCATTTGCTTATTGAATTTGCAAATGAACGTTACTGGTCCTCCAAAAGCTCGTGAATGGATTTACTGGTCCCCATGTCAAAAAGTTTGGGAACCCCTGGCATAAAGCACTGCACTGTGAGCTGAATTTTTTACATTTTATTTCTTCCTATTGCTTGCAGTAATATCCTTGTGTAGTATGAGTGTGCTACATCTCCAGATTTCATGTCTACACCTGTAGAGGGTTCACTTGTCCATTTTGTTAGTGGATCTCAATCTGTCTAGACTGTCCCTCTTTCAGGAGTCTGATGTGTTTTGGGTACACCAAGTTTCACTTTACATCTGTTTGAACAAATAGTTCTCTCTCTCTCTCTCTCTCATGGGAAAAATTTCTTGTTCTCATTTTACTATACAGTAAGTCCTCATTTAACATTATAGATATGTTTCAGAAAATGATTGTGTTAAGTGAAAACATATTATGCAAGGTCCATTTTCCCATTGAAAATAATGGAAAAGGCGGGGGTTGTGTTTCAAGCAGTGGTGTCTGTTGGGAGCTGGCCATAAGGTTGGGGAAGAAAGGTGGGTTACAGCAGGGAGGGGAGGTGTTTGGCTCTAGGGAAGGGGATGGGAGGGGAATTGGGTTGGGAGTTTGCCCCTGTGCTGGGACCTGCACTATGTGCGGGGAAGGGGGGAGGGTTGCTGGGGAACAGCACGGCAAGTGGTGAACCCTCTGCTGCCGGTGACGGATCAGCTGGGGAAATCGTGTTACGCCGGGGACAGTCGTGTAATTCAAAAATGTTCCCTAAAAAAAAAATCATGCTATCGTGAAAATGTGTTAAGCGGGCATGTGTTAAATTAGGAATTACTGTATAATTATAAAATAAATTGAAATATAAATTTTGTACTTACATCCCAGAGTGTAGTGTACATATAGACGTATAAAGATTGCATTTTGAATGAAATTCTAGTTTGGACTGACTTTGCTGATGCTTTTTTTTATGTAGTCTGTTAAATTAGTCAACTAATTAGATGAGATGATGTACCTCATGGAAGACCTCTATGTATCTGTGGGGCTGCTTGTACCACTGCATTATGTCATCGGTCGGTGTCTCCTAAGCAATTGGATGGATATATATATATACTCTCTCTCTCTCTCTCTCTCTCTCTCTCTCTCTCATGCATTAGCCTCATCTATCAATTTCGTCTACGTGCTGTTTGCTTCTTCAGCTCCTTGACCACTACTTTAAGTGGGAGCAGATGGACTAGTTGCAAGGGATAGAAGGACGAGATGCTTCTTAGAGTGCAGCGACCCCAGGCCAGGGTACCACTTCTTACAGTGCTTGTGTGTGGAGGGCAGAATGCATTCCCTGCGGCTCCTTGACAAAGTGCCCCGGGGCGGCAGGGAGTGCGGAAACTGCCTGGAGGGGCCAGGGCTACCCCTGCACCAGCTAGCGGGAGGGAAAGA